AGTGATTGTAGTTCTCTTCCCAGGAAGCTTGCAACACAATGCTATCTGAAAATAGGAACATCTGAAGAACCTCACAATCTACAGTGTTATTCTCAGAGAGTTATTGAATAAGGTTTTATTGTTGTTGTTGTTGTTGTTAACGTTTTTCAAGGAATATGAAGGAGTATATGAATGAGAAATACCTTTCTTTAAAAGTGCCTACAAGGCAGCTTTCTGCTTTTAAAATATGCTGTAGTGCCCCGATGATGCTCACGTCCCTTTTGCACGATCTTTTTTTTTATTTGAACTTAATGAACACCAAAAAGAAAATATTTATGCATATGAAGTAGAACAGAAAAAGATAATTACATGTGAAACTATGAATCTCTATTATGACCATCTTTAAATATATGTAATATGTTACTTGCATAATTGTCGTGTTTGTCTGTATTTCCTTCTTAATTTCCTTCTCTTCTCTTCTGGACATTTTGAAAATGCTCTAATGACCTCATTTATTCTTATTTTTTTATAATCCTGTACAAAAATACCCCCCTAAAAAAACACAGCGCTTATAACAAGCATTGTTAAGCAACACAAATCCACACATTTGCCATATATAAAAATCATGTATGTCTCATTCTGCACCTTGAGCCTCTCACTTTGCTGGCAGGATGTAGGTAATATCCTTCATCATTGGTCCTCTGGAGCCGTGGTTGGACATTTCATTGTCCAGAATTCTTACGTCTTTCCAAGTTACTTTCCTTTATTTTTTTTTTACTTTTCCATCTTTAAAAAGAAACATCAACCACACAGTCTTTCATATGGCTTTGTTGAGAGACTACTAAGCAACTTTAAATGTTTTCTATTTGTGATTCTTTGGTGACAATTATTGCTTGCCACAGAATGGACTGTCCTCCCTTCATACTGTCCTTTATCAATATCTTAATATGTCGTGTGAACAAACCTACATGTTCCTACCTCTTGTTTGTTGTTTTTTCCCCTAATATTCAGTATTTTCTCTTTAATATATTCTCTAAAGGGAAGTATCCTGACATAGGAATCTCATTCTCCTTCCATTATAGATATCTTCCTGGATCTAGTTCTAAGAAACTTTGTGTTTTTATCATAACTGCAGACAAGTTTTTAAGAAAAAAAGATACATTCACTGTGGTAGTGATCCTGTTACTTTGCCATTTTGAGGGAGTGGGGAGAGTTTCCAGGTTTCCTATTTTTGATTACACTTCAGCACAGAAACAAAATTCTAAAATATAGACAAAGCAAAAAAAAAGTTAAGGAAACATTTAAATTTTGAGAATTCTATTCTCTGGAAATCACTAGTGGGTTGAACTGGCTTCTTCAACTATCATTAAAAAGAAATTTCAGAGTAAAGTTTTCTTTTTATCGTTCTAAGCATTTCTGTCTTTATAAAAGAAAATTATACGGTAGACTAAGCCCCCTGGACCTTTTTCCACATTGACTTAATTACAGCTAAAGGGATGCATAAGCATTTCTCAGCCTTTCTGGTATGCACCGGTAATACCTGGAAGCCAAAAAATAAAAATTAAATACACACAGAAGATGATGGGCATTACTTTTCATTGTATTTCCAATGCATTTGACCATGTTTTATAAAAATTTGTAAAGAATTCTTCAAAAGTTGCATTTCTAAGTACATTGGATCTTCCTTCTTTTTTATTTTTATTTATTTATTTATTTTTTGGTGAGGCAATTGGAGTTAAGTGACTTGCCCAGGGTCACACAGTTAGTGTCAAGTGTCTGAGACCAGATTTGAACTCATGTCCTCCTGACTCCAAGGCTGGTGCTCTATCTACTGCACCATCTAGTTGCCCTGGATCTACCTTTTAATTCAGCATTTTAAATTTGCACCTGAATGTATTGATGAAAATAGAACACTCTTGTGGATGACCAAATTTAGAGCAACACATAGAAAAAGAAGTACAATTACCAGTGACTAATTAATTACTTTCTGCTGTAGAGAGGAGTAATTTTCATTTCCATTCTGAAGGATTTGATTTCATTTCTGATTCCCAGATTCTCTCCTAATGACCGAGCTAAACTCTGTCTTTACCAAGATTGGCCATGGTATTAGTGCATTGATCAGGTTTGTTTCAGAATCTCCCATTCACTCTGTTGATGATTTCAGACAGAAAAATAGTAGTAGATAATCACCAGGCACAGTGTTTCATTTGGGGAAACAAAATCCAGTGATTAATCTTAAGAAGAAGAATTTGTAATCTGGGATCCATGAACTCATCTTTTTTTAATTTGTTAACTATATTTCAACATAATTGATTTCCTGTGTAATCCTATGCATTATTTTATGCATTTAAAAACATTATCCTGAGAGGAGAACCATAGGCTTCAGTAGATTGCCAAAAAGTTCCATGACATAAAAGTGGTAAGAATTTGTGATCTACAAAGTAGTCTGCAAATAATAAGTAAATTTCTTTAACAAGTTTTTCAGAGCTAATGTTGCTTATTTTGAAGTAATTTCTTATAATAATTATAGCTAGCATTTTTATAACACTTTAAAGTTTGCAAAGCACTTTATATATGTTACCTCATTTAATGCTCACAAATACCCTGGGAGAGAGATGGTATTATTATCCCAGTTTTATAGATGAAAAAACTGAGGGAGGCAGGAATTTTGCCCAGGATCACACAGCCAGTAAAATTTTGAGGCTGGATTTGAACTCAGATCTTCCTGTTGCCAAACCCAGGGATCTAAAGATTTAAAGTTTCAGATCACTGGTAAGTCAATGGAGTTATCTGATGGGCTGAAATAGGCTAAAACCTAGATCTTCCAGATTCCGAGTCCAGTACTCTATTCATTACCCCACATACCATTTCTGTCATTTTTAGTCCCTCAGAGATGAGAACCCCCTAGGGCAACTTTTTCATGATAAAAAAGAGGAAGATGTAAAAGAAAACACACACAAGTACCCCAAGTTGCTAGATGCTAATCTTCGGTGAATTTTATTTTTATAGACCGTAATATATAATAATAGTAGTAAATATGAATGGGGTGTGTTGAAAGAAGTTTGTTTTGTTTTTTTTAATTCCAAAACATGTAGAGAAATAAGATGTCCTTTGTATGAAGGCCAAAGTAAAATCACAAATTCCAGAGCACAAGCACAGTGGTGAAAATAAACCCCACCCCAGGACTGTTGGCTTGTTCCTGTTGATACCATTGAACTGGGCTCCTTCATTGGAGGATCTTCTTATCGAAGGAATTCAGCCATTCTGTACAACAGGCAGGGAGGCCCCTTCCCCCAGCCAGTGGTTTCTGAGCAGTTTGTGTTTTCTCTAGTCAGATCAGAAGGCAACTCAGAATCCCAGGGCTAGAAGGAACCTCACCCACTATCTACTACAACCCACTCAGAATGTTGCCACTCGCCATTACGTGACATTGAGCGGCTCCTCCAGTGCCAAATGATTTTCATCACACTTTGACAAGAAGCTTCCTGATCTACAATAAGGGAGTCAGGGAAGAAAGAGTAGCCAAAGAAGAGTGATTCTAGCCCCAAATATTCCACTCATCTTTTACTTTAGTGCTTCTGGGGGTAATTACTTTGGCTTAAAGTATTTATTCCAAGAGGCGCCTTGTCAGAATGAAGACCTTCTAATGCATGAGAACTTACTTTTGTTGGATAATGGGAAAACTCCTTCTTTACCCATACAGTTTATTAATTAATTTATTCAGTAAGGAAGTACTTTATAGTTATTTACTAAGCACACATGGGATGCAAGAAAACTGTGCTAAGTGCTAGTGGATATGGAAAATTGAGATCAGACCCTGGCCTAGTATTCACTAAGCTATCATCACTACATTGCTGCTAGTAGAACAGAACTCAGCGGGAATCAGTAAACATTAAGTACCTACTGCATACAGAACACTAGACAAAGTAGACTGTGAGTTCCTTGAGAGCAGGGGCTGTTTTTTTGCCTTTCTTTGTATCCCCAGCACGGTGCCTGGCCCATAATAGGCACTTAATAAATGCTAGTTAAATGATGGGCTCCTCCCCTCATGGAGTTTATAGTGTAGTGAGCAATGTGCAGCATTTAGATACAGAAGTAAAATAAAAGCAGAGATGAGCTATTTAAATGCACCAAAGTGCCATACAAGGGTCTAGAGTCTGAAAAGGAAAAATCATTTTCAGTTTGTGAAAATGGAGGCAGCATCATTTGATCTACAACTTGAGAAATGAGTAAGATACAATAGGAAGGAAAACCACTTTAAGCATAGGGAATGAGGTAAACAAAGTCTGAATCAAGAATGTATGGAAAGTTTAAGGGAAATAGGAAATAGTCCAGTTTGACTAGAATACAAGATATTAGAATAATGTTGTTGTTGAGTCATTTCAATTACATCCAACTCCTTGTGATCCCATTTGAGGTTTTCTTGGCAAAGATACTGGAGTGGTTTGCCATTTCCTTCTCCAGCTCATTTTACAGATGGGGAAACTGAAGTAAACAAGGCTAAGTAACTTGCACAGGGTCACACAGGTAATAAGTGTCTGAGGCGATATTTGAACTCCTGATTCCAGGCACAGTGCTCTGTCCACTGTACCACCTATGTGCCATGAGAATAATAGATACTAAAAATAATAATTAGCATTGATAAAATGTTTTAATCTTTGCAAAGCACTTTATATATGTTAACTCATTTGAAGATGAGAAATATGGATAAGACCAGAAAATAAACAGTGTGATACCAGATTGTATAGGGCCTTGAATCAAGCATTCTGGACTCTATCAAGTAGGCAATAGGGAGCCACTGAAAAGTTTTAAGCTAAGGGCTGACGTGTTCAGATCTCTGCATAAAGAAGATTGATCTGGCAATAGTGTGAAGGATGAATTTGAGAGGGAATTCTCATAGGAGTCTTATTCAGTTGGAAAAAAAATTAAGTCAGCATACAGATCAAGGCCAAGGAAGAGGGAGCAAACATTCATGTAACTGTGTACAGTATCATTGCTGTTTCCCTTCTCTCTCTTTGCAGCCCGCAGCCTCCCAGGAGGACGTCCCTGCCCTCAGTGCCTTTCTGCGTAATTCTAGCATTCCTCATCTTGTCAGGAAGAGACATGTCCCAGTGGTAGAAATTCACAGACAAAGTCCTGCAAAAATACTGGTGAGTTCACTGAAATCTACTTAGGGCTGTTTTCATGGTTTGGACAGAATTCTTAAATACAGATGGTTTTAACTTCAGGAGTATTTTTCTTTTCACTTTCTTCCAGTACGTTGATGTGCCTAACATATTCGTTAGAAATACAAGATGAGAAAAATCTAAGTGTCTTCTCAGTGTGAGAGTGTTTGCCTCATTCAGATAAATCCTGTCTGAGAAGTTATATAAGGAAAAGTATGTGGCAACCTTAAACTTATGGAAATGAGGATAGAAAGTAGTCATTTAATAACCTAGAGATCTCATCTTTATAAGACATCAATTCAATAAAGATTCTACAAACCACATTAGACCCTGGGGACAAAAGAGAGAGAGAGAGAGAGAGAAGGAGGAGGAGGAGGAGGAGGAAGAGGAGGAGAAGGAGAAGGAGAAGAAATAAGGAGGAGGAAGAGAAGGAGGAGGAAGAAGGAAGGAAGGAAGAGAAAGAAAAAAGGAGGGAGGAAGGAAGAAAGGCAGAGAGCAAGAGGGAGGAAGAACAATAATCTCTACTCTCAAGAAGCTTACATTCTATTGTGGAAATGACGTGTTAAATATTTTAATGTATTAAATATATATAATGTTACATAATATACATTTTATAATCTATTAATATATTGAATAAATATCTTGTAAAAGCAAGATAATTTGGTGAGAGAGACACCACTGACATGTAGGGGAGTGAGGAAAGCGTCTGATAGGCACTTGAGCAGAGCCTTGAGGGAATTAAAGATCCGAAGATGGAAGAGTTGAGGAGGAAATCTATTCCAGAAATGGGGACTAGCCTGTTTGAAGGCACAGGGATGGGCCGTGGAATGTCAGGAACCATAAACACAAATGGGCCGGTTTGCCTGGCCTCCATGAAGTCAAATATGTGAGTGGGAGTAATGTGAAATACACCTAGGGAGGCATATTGTTAAGGTCTATAACTGTAAAGAAGGAGAGATTATATTTTGTCCTAAAGACAAGAGGGGGCTAGTTAAGCTTCTTAAGCAGAGGGGTTAAATGATGACTTGCACTTTAGGAAGATAATTTTGGCAGTTTTTGGAGGATAGGTTAGGGAAAGGAAGCATATTTATTTATAAAGATATTTATCTTATATTAGGAGATATTAGAAGGCTATTGAAATAATCTAGCCATGAGATGGTAAGGGCCTGAATTAGAGTGGGGGTCGTGCAAGTAAAGAGAAGGGGAACAAATGCAAGAAATGTCATGGAGGCAGAAGCTCCAGATTTGGAAACTGGATAAACAGTGAAGGGAAAGTGAAAAACTGAAGCTTGCTCTGTCTACGATGGCAGACATGGGTTCCTGAAAGGGTTGTGGTGTCCAGGATAAAAATAGGGAAGTTAGGAGGAAGGACAAGTTTGGAAGAAAAGATAATAATTTCTTTTTTGACATGCTTTGGACATGAGACGTCCTAAAAGACATCCAATTGGAGATACACAATAGACATTTGGCAATGTGCAACTGGATCTCAGTTGAGATTCCAGTGGGATATATAAATTTGGAAGCCACCCAATGATCAGAGAAATGATCAGTAAAACAACAGGAGCTAGTGAAATCCCTAAGACAGATGTTATAGGAGAAGTTCCAGGACAGGACTATGGCTAACACCTAGAGTTGGGGACATAGATAAGATTCAGCAAAGAAGACCGAGGACTCGTTACAGAGGTTAAAATAAAAAGAACCACCAAGAAAAATCATGTCCTGAAAAATGAAAAAAAGCTGGAGGTGCCAAAAAAAAATTCCCTTTCTACTCAGTTTTGCAGGGTTCAGCTCTGTTGGTTCAGTTTTGTCTAAGGCCAGAGGGTAGATTGAATTCAGGACCAAGGCAAGCCACAGGAGATCAAGGTCAGGCCGGAATGGACTTTGAAAATCCCATCTGGTCTGGAAGATGCAAAGAGATCATAATTAATTCTGGTGTGGCCAGTCAGATTGCGTCCATTCCAAAATCAACGTTCATCCCTCCCCGCACCCTCAGTCCCTATTGTTACCTAACTTCTCACTGCCCAGCTGGTCCCTGAATAATGTCCTTGGCCTCACACACCAACCATTCCTCCCACTAATAGCCACCTTATTTGGAGCCAGTCCCCAAGCCTCTAGATGTAGACAGAAACCATCCATGAAAAGTTCTACCTGTTTATCAGCTCCAGGTCCCCTATGTAAATACCACATATTTTAGATTTTCTGCCATTCCTTTGTCCCCATTTCCCTTGCTGGGATGCAATATTTCTAAAACTAAACTATGTAAATTTGAATTACAACTTCAAGATCAAATTCTTTCCCTCCATCGATTTTCTTTTTTGACTTTTCAGTGGAAGAGGTTTTTTGCTTCTGCAAACCACCCAGAAACTTACAAGTTGCAGAGAGCATAAAAATCCAACCATCTGCTCCCACATTAATTACTTGATTGCACTAATTAGCATTCTGGAATCTCTTTGTTTCTTATTGTTTACAAAATTACAGATCACTTTCCCCACTCTTTGTCCTCAAGTCAAACTGCTAAATAACTCTAGAAAAAGAGTGATTATGCAAAGCTGATTCAGAAATCAAAAGTTAAATAAAACCTCCTACAGTTTTTTGTTTTATTAACAAGACTTATTCAATCACATTTCTGATGAGGAATTTAAAAGAGCAGATTTCCAGCATCTGCTTAGGGGGATCATAATATCAAATTTGCATTAAGAAACATTTATCAATTACAATCAAATGTAATTTTTGGGCCAAAATTTTTGGATAGTCCATTTTACACAATTCCTACCAGAGAACCAGGGGTTTAGTGGGCCAGAGAGATTCTAAAAGCAGGCATTGCCCCAAATAGGCAATATCTATGACTTACATCTTTCTAAAAGAGAACAAAGCCACTCTCTATTCCTGGTCCTCTTCCTTCATTTCCAGGGCAAGAGATTGAAGAGAATATGGCCGGTTTTATTACTCTCTCAACCTCCCCAAGGGTAATGTATGACCCTACGTTATACTGTTGGTTTGGGGAAGCTGACATTTATGAGACATGAATAATCATGAGAAATGCAACTTAATAAGTTTTTGTCAAATTTGATCCGCAGCCTAAAATTTTTTTGAGAATATGTATTATTATCATTCTCAATTAATATGTGTTATTAATATGTATGTAATATGTATTGATTCATTAAAAGTTTATGAATCAAATTCTCTTGGCACCTATGTCTAAGTAGTACAAGTAACCTCCACCACCACTATATGTACAAAGCATCTATGGTATATTGATTGAATTAGCTGGTGGGGACTTCAGTGCCTTATTTTATCAATTCCATTAAAGTGAAATTTTTCCGGCTCAAAAACTGATAGCTCATAACATTCTGCTCATCCTCCCTATACAGAATGCAAGTACTATTCAGTAATACAATCAAAAAGGAAAATGGAATTCATCCTCCAAAATTTCATCTTAAAGGCAACTTTTCAAGAACATATGTACTTCATCCAATGAGGAATACTTAAGAAACTGGGCATCCTTGGGATCTGGATTCAATTTGTCATATTTTTTTTTGAGGGAGGAACTATCTAGTAAGTTATGACTTTGATGTAATCTGTATAGCCCTTAGTGGGCAGAGGGATTAATGGAACCTACAGAAGTACCTGATTTATAATCAGAGTAGTTTACGAATTTCCAAGTACCAGTCATTCAATTATCTAAATTAGGTTTTCTCAGTTTACTTAATCTACTGGTGTTATCACAAAATAGCCATATGAAGTAGGCAGGTGTGGCAGTGGCCTTGAGTCAGAGGATATGGGTTTCATTCTCATCCCTAACAATTCCTACATGTACATGCTGGGCTGGTCACTTGACTTGCCGGTGTCTTAGTTTTGCCACCAATGTAATGGGGATGATCATTTTTGTATGACCCACTTCAAAGGGACATGGTAAGGAAAATGTCCTATAAACCTTAAAAATCTATACAAATATGAGTTTTTATCATGAATCCTTCCTTAGTGGTTTGATTTAGTCTTCAGGATACAGGGTCATATAAAGGATAATTTAAAAAATGAACTGAGATGAAAGAAAGAAGGAAATTCAAGTAGAACAGGAGGCTTTAGGTACATAATAAGTGCTATTTATTCATTCCTCCATTCAGCTAGGTGGTGCAGTGGACAGAGCACTGAACTTAGATTCAGAAAGACCTGAGTTCAAATCCAACCTCAGACCCTTGTTAGCTGTGTGACCTTGAACAAATCACTTCACCTCACTCAGGCTCATTTTCCTCTTCTGTAAAATGGGGCCAATAATAATACCTTACTCTTGGGGCAGCTAGGTAGCGTAGTGGATAGAGCACTGGCCCTGGAGTCAGGAGGACCTGAGTTCAAATGCGGACTTAGACAAATAATACTTCCTATCTGTGTGAATCTGGGCAAGTCACTACCCAATTGCCTCACTAAAAAAACAAAACAAAAAAAAAACCTTACTCGCAAATTTATTGTGAGGATAAAATGAGACAGTATTTGTCAAGCTCTTTTCAAACCTTAAAATATTATATAAATGCTAGTTATTATTATTATTATTTTCATCCTCCTTATCATTATTATCATTATATTCTGAACAGAGCAAAATCATTTTGTAAAATGTGTACACTAGTGTTTTAGTTATCAGAAAAAAATAAGAGCAAAGGACAATGCAGTCTTCACCATGACCATAGTCTGTTACTGCAGGAAATTCTCTATGTGAAACCTTATCCTGAAATTATTATGATATACACCTATGAGGATTCCATGGATACTAAATAGTAAGGGAAAGCCAAGGGAATAAAATCATAACATGGTGCCACAGTTCCCCGTCTTAGAAGTCCAGTGAAAGTTTCGGTATTCTGGAATCTCACATTTGGTGGACAAAGCACTTTTGTGCTTCTGCTAAATTAAGACTTAGTTTATCATTAAGTGATACTTGTGGATAAGGAAATGTGAATAATCCCCATGTCCCAACTGAGCCATATCATTACAACAATCTATAAAGCCACCTCTCTGAACCTCTGTTTTACAGAATTGCACTAACATTGATTGCTTACGAATCTCTTGTGTGGTTGGACGATTAGAAGGAGGTGAGAGCGCAGTCCTGAAAGTCAGAGCACGCTTATGGGCCCAAACTTTTCTCCAGGTAATGAAAAAGCAAAATGAATTTCTAATAGAATCTATTTGGGTTTTTTTTTTTGCTTTTTTAAAATTTTAATTTTTCCCCAGTTACATGTAAAAACAATCTTTAACATCCATTTTTAAAACTTTGAGTTCCAAATTCTCTCCCTTGCTCCTTCCCCACCCCACCCCCACTGAGATGGCAAGCAATTTGACATAGGTTGTACATGTGTAGTCATGAAAAACATATCCATAATAGTCATGTTGTGAAAGAAAACAGACAAAAAAACTTAAGAAAAATAAAGTGAAAAAAAAAAACATGTTTCAATCTGTATTCAGATACCATCAGTTCTTTCTCTGGGGATGGATAGCATTTTTCATCATAAGTCCCTCAGAGTTGTCTTGGGTCATTATATTGCTGAGAATAGCTAAGTCATAGAATTTATTTTCAAAACCAAAGCAGACAGCTACTTTTAAAAGAAATTTCATTTGAAGAATTGAGCTGAGCTACCTAGCTCAGTTGGGCATAATTGGATTTAAAGTATTGTTGTATCTTAGAATTTCATATGCACCATATTCCAAGGTAAATGCAAAGCCTGGCACAACACACTTTGAAAAAGCATTCCCTACGAGGCAGGTCTTTCCTGGTCTCTATACAAGAAAATTAAGTCACTCTAGTACCAAAAGACCTAACATAAAGTGATTTTACCTGTAATATGTTCAGTAACATAGACTTTAGGAATGGCATTAGAATATGGTTCCCGTGTATATGTGATTTTTAGCTGACCTATTGCTTTGGATTGTCTGTGAGACAGTGAATAATCAAACAGGGAAAATGAATGGATTGCTTAATTATTTTGTTTCTTTCTTCTCTTAATAACAAAGGATTTTCCTTTGGAAAAAAGTCATGTTTCTTTAAAAAGAAATCTGATTATTTGACAGTCTATTTGTTCTGAGGTTTCTTCAACTAATTCAATAGGTATACTCTCAATCTCATTTTAAAAAAATACATACTGTGAATTAAATTGTATGTTCCCATGAAAATACATTGTATTTGGCTTAGTTCAAGATATAAGATCAAATGGAAATTGTATAGGACTTAACCATGTAAATATTGTCTTGGTGCTCCCTTTCCCAGTAGTCACATCTTTTGCTTCTGGCCAAAGTTCTGCTGTAGCTTAATTTTCTTCAATAGATTGGGATCATAATAACTTCCATAGATCTTTGATCTGCTGGAAATTAGTACTCCTTCCATTGGTACAGATCACAGCCTACCCATGCTTTCTCATCTAGTGCTACGTTTTCTCATGCTGTCTCATCAGCCCCTCTGTAAGAGGTCCACCAAGTGATCTGGAGATCTTCTTACTCGGGGGTATGTGAACTTATATTTTTAGATGTTCTAGTAACTATCTGTCAGTGTAATTGGTTTCCTTTATAATACTACATTTTTATTTTATGCACATTTAAGCATCAATCTGAAAAGTCCATAAGCCTCACAAGACTGCCAAAAGAGTCAATGACACAAGAAAAAAGATGAGAACCCCTATTCTAGATCATGTGCATGGACACCAATGGACCACAGGGGCTGTCCACTGGTTTTCTTCCATCACTCAGCCCATCTGGGGCTTCTATTACCTTCTAATCCCAATGATATCCTTTATGTGGTTTTTGGTGTGCAATTCTTTGCTAGAAATATGATGCAGCCTGTTCTGGCATCACTTCTTTGCCCTTTGAGTGACCTACAACTTGAATTCTTTGAAGACTGTGGTATTCTATGACTCAAAGCCATATAGCATTAACAGAAGAATATTGGTATTTTGTTAAAGGGATCATAGATGAATGAAAGTAAAGAAAGAATATAGATAAGGGTGCATAAGTTTTTCAAGCATGAACTGAGAGGTTCCACCCCGTACCCACTTTTTATTAATTTGTGTTTTAACTAAATGCATACTTTAATTACCCACTATTCAATCAGATACATCACAAACCACAAGCCCTTCTCTTTTCTCCATCCAGAGGGAGTCTGGAAATGAGTTATATTATCATCAGCTCCAATCTTACATCCTGTAATACATTATTCTCTACCTCATTCCAGCATAATCATGGAATCACTTCTACAATCTAAAAGATAAATTTCTAACAATGGATTCCTACCTTTGATCATGTTTTTGGAATGATTTATAATGTCTTAAACTATTTTCAGTGAAATTCCTTAAAGGGCTCTAAAATTCCTAAAGCTTTGATATTTTAATCGAAACTTACACTTGAAGATAGATTTATTTTTCTTTTTTCGTCCAAATTTGAAGATAGCATTGATTAATCTTGGATAAGATGTTTAACCAGAGAAAGGGTATTATAGATGACACTGGAATTTTGACAAATTTTAATGAATATTCACAAAAAAAGTAGTATGCTGTAATGGGAAAAGCACTGGATTATAACAATAAATTCTATAATAACTCATTTTTACATAGTGCTTCAAAGTACCTTCCCCCACAGTTAGCTGGTAGTGGTATTAGCACCTTTTTGCGAATGAAGAGACTGAGATTTGAAGAGGAAAGTAAGTTGTTCAAGGTCTCACAACTCTTAAATGATAGTTTTAATTTGAAACCTTCTCTGTGTTTTTTCGTTTTCTTTGCAAAATTGCACCAACTCACCTTGTTCTCACATCATATATTTTGTCATTCCTAAGTTGACCAACACTTTCAGGAGGGAGCAGGGGTAAGGGGTGGGGAGGACATTATCAAACAAAGAAGAGAGGATAGGCTTGCTTGTGAGCCATAAGTTGAAAATATTGACACTACAAATTAAAGGAATTTTTATTATAGCTTTGTAATGACCCAGGTCAGAAAATCCAAGCATTTCACTTAGTTATAAACAGCTGCTGTATTCCTTCTATTTAATATGATTATTTCCCTGACCTACATTTATTATTAGATCTTAAATTTCTTAGAAATCCTCAACATAAAAACCAGGCAACATTTAATGTTTCTTCTAAAGAATGTTATAAAATAGAGAATTTTTAGTTGCTCTTGCAAGAATATACTCTTCCTCTTATAAGTAACATATGACCTCAATAATATCCTGGTTTTCTGGCTCCATAGCTTTTTTAATAGGATATTAAAAGGCTGAATCACTCACATTCTATGGATTTGCTAAGGATTACCCTACTTTTGAGGCTGTTAGGTGGGCACAGTGGATAGAGTTCCAAGCCTGGAGTCAGGAAGACTCATCTTCCTGAGTTCAAATCCAACCTCAGACACTTATTAGCTATGTGACCTTGGGTAAGCCACTTTACCCTGTTTACCGCAGTTTCCCTCATCTGTAAAATGAGTTGGAGAAGAAAATGGCAAACCATTGCAGTATCTTTGCCAAGAAAACCTCAAATAAGGAGTTTCCTAACCAGAGATTTCCCTATAGCAATGAAACCACAAGTCTAGGCCCAATCTCTGTCCCTATAGATAAGCCAAATAGTATAGAAAAGAGCAACCAGAATGATGAAGGGTTTTGAGTCCATATCATATAAGGAACACTTGAAAGACCTGGGGATCTTTAACCCGGAGAGAAAAAAAAAACTCAACGAGGATATAATGCCCCCATTATCTTGTGGTGGAAGGATTAGATTTTTTTCTGTTTAGTCGCAAAGGTCAGAATCAGGATCCACAGGTAGGAGTTGGAAAGGTGTAAATGTAAGCTTGATATCAGGGAAAATTCCCTTTGAGTTATAGTTATCCGTAAGTAAAACAGGCTGCCTCAGGAAATAGTAAGTTCCCACTCATTGAAAGTCATCAAACAGAGGCTGGATAGGCGCTTGTCTGATATATCATAATGAAGATTCTTGTGCTGTAGGGTTGAACTAGATAGCTGCTGATGTATCTTTTTTTAAGCAAATGAACTAAAGACTTATCTATCTTATTGGGTTTTTTTTTTTTAGAAAGCCAGCTCGTAGATGTATTTATTACCTCAATAATTTAGGTTTTTTTTTAATTTTCAATCGTATTAATCTCATCTTTGATTTTCAGGATTTCCAATTTGGTGCTCAATTGGGGACTTCTAATTTGTTCTTTTTCTAGTTTTTTTTAAATTGTATTCGTTGATCTATTCTTTTTTTATTTTGTTGATGTAAGAATTTAGAAAAATAAAATTTCCCCTAAATACTGCTTTGGCTGCGTCCTGTAAATTTTGGTATGTTGTCTCATTGTTGTCATTCTCTTTAATGAAATTATTGATTGTTTCTATGATTTGTTCTTTCACCCACTTATTTTTTAGGGTTAGATTATTTAAGTTTCCAATTAATTTTTAATCTATTTTTCTACTGCTTTGTTAAATGCAATTTTTATTGCATTATGATCCAAAAAGAGCACATTTAATATTTCTGTCTTTCTACATTTGATTTTGAGGTTTTTATGCCATAGTTCATGGTCAGTTTTTGTGTAGGTACCATGTGCTGCTGAGAAAAAGGTATATTCCTTTCTGTTCCCATTCAGTTTTCTCCAAAGATCTGTCATATCTAACTTTTCTAATATTCTATTTACCTCCTTAGTTTCTTTTTTGTTTCTTTTTGGCTAATTTATCAAGTTCTGAAAGGGGACTGTTGAGGTTGATGTGCCTAAATCCTATGATTCTAAAATCATTACTTGTGTACTTAACTCCGGGCTTCCAAAGTCCCATGTTCCAAGTTCCTACTTATTTCATACATAGGAACCTAATACCAAAGAAGATAGATTTATATGCTTTCCTTTAAATATGTGTACTTTCTAATCCTGTAATTTAATAGTTTTGTCATACAGCCTTCCTTCCCCAACCTTATGTTTGGTATCCCATTGAAAATCTGTGGACCACCATTTTGGCATATGATGCTCTCCTAAGTGCTCCTTTGTCCATGGGCCATCCAGAAAATATTTTCTTTCAGTTTATTCCAGACTATCTTGGGATCTATGACTGCTGCATGAAACATAAAGTCTACTTGAAGGTTTAAAGTTTTGCCAGTAATTGCTTAAGCTTTTTATTTCAGACCACAAGGCT